CGTCTGGATGCTAAGCCTGATCTTTTGCCGATGTGTTACGTTTTTTGTTTTTTTTTTTCTTCACTCCGCAGCTTTGTTGCTGCTTTGAATGAAATGAAAGATGATCCGTTTATGTTTGCATCACCTTGAAAAGATAGCGGAAATGGTCTCCCCCCTCCACGCAGCTCAAATAACATCGCTTTACACGACTTACTATCGAAATAAGATGGCGAAGATTGGCTCATTAGATCGGAATGATTAGATAATTGGATAGAACTTGTACAAGGAAGGGTCCGTGATTCCTTATCAAATAGCTGATGGTAATTAACTACAAATGTTGATGTAACAGATAATCTCGATCTGCGTGAAGGAAATAAAATACGCCTCACACGTGTTCATGGCATCTGTGTGAGACCGCAAGGCCTGCCACACATCGAGCATTGTTTCAAATACAGTATCAGGTCGGTTCCTTTTAGGCACTCCTAAATCCAATCTTCTTCAAACCCAGCACCTGAAATTGTAGTTTTCTCCAAAATCCAATATACACCCCTCTTTGTGTCTCCTTCAAATATACAGAGAAGGATGCATTCAAGTCGACAAAGTACAAATAATACCAAGAGAATGAAAGTGTCAGATGATACAGAGAGACTGACAAGGAGATTCCTCAGGTCAGCTGTTCAAATGGCAATCTATATCAGACTTCAGAGGCCGGGAGATGGCAGATCACCATGCACCTTAAAATCCCCCCCAATGTTCTATTTGTTTATTTTATTTTATTTTTTTTGTCACAAACTTGAACCTCCGCGTCCCTTTTCATTTCCCGCGAGAGCTGATTGGATTTGTGATGGTCGTGCCTCCCTCGGTGCCCCGTGCCGCGTCTCCGCCGCAGCGGCAATCTCTTTAACACCAACATAGAGATATGATAATGTACGCTGACTTTATTGTCATGTGGGACACGCAGACACTCACACGCACACACACACACACACACACACACACATAACACGCACACACAGCATATGTGCTCGTCTCGCTTTGTCTTAGAGGGCACCCCTGTGCTTGCGGAGCGCCTCAGGCCACCAACTCTTTGCTTTCATCTATAAATACTCTTAACACTTCTATTTTAGTTCAGATTGTCACAAGTCTGAGAGGTTGTAGCTAAAGGTTGAAAAGTGTTTTTTTTTTTTTTTTTTTTTTAAATGCTTTTTATTTTAGGAACTTTGATTTTGGCACCTTTTTTTATTCAAATTGCCCTTAACTAACATGTCATCAAAACGAATGGAAAGAAGCAGTGTTCAGAAATCCAGGGAAACGTTTGAGGTGGAATATAATCTCTTCTGGGAAGCTGCTTGAACATCGATTTCTTCAAATTTTTTAGAAAGAACCAATTCTGGAGTCAAATTGTTGCCATCATGAAACCTCTATTAACTGCACGGGGAAAATGTTAAAGCGGACACACTGCCGCCATCAAATGTGAAAATAAACAACCAAGTGCTGTCCATCAAATCAAATTTGTCATCCTGTTTCTACGAGGTAGCCATGATTTAGAATTCCACATTGTTTAACGAAAACAATTTGCATAGATTTACCTTGGGAACGTCAATTTAATTCATGTTAACAAACAATGCAAAGGCTAACGATTTGCATCAAAGTCACGGTGTAGTAACGCTTTAAAGCGACAGATATTTGAACACAAATGATTAAACAACACGTGGACAGTTGATATAAAAATACGTGATCAATCCAAGACGTTTGAGGTGGAATATAATCTCTTCTGGGAAGCTGCTTGAACATCGATTTCTTCAAATTTTTTAGAAAGAACCAATTCTGGAGTCAAATTGTGGCCATCATGAAACCTCTATTAACTGCACGGGGAAAATGTTAAAGCGGACACACTGCCGCCATCAAATGTGAAAATAAACAACCAAGTGCTGTCCATCAAATCAAATTTGTCATCCTGTTTCTACGAGGTAGCCATGATTTAGAATTCCACATTGTTTAACGAAAACAATTTGCATAGATTTACCTTGGGAACGTCAGTTTAATTCATGTTAACAAACAATGCAAAGGCTAATGATTAGCATCAAAGTCACGGTGTAGTAACGCTTTGAACGACAGATATTTGAACACAAATGAATAAACAATACATGTGGACACTTAATATAAAAATACGTTATCAATCCAAGATACTCATGTTCTTAGTATATGTATATTTTTTCAAGAGTAAGTGTTAAAAAGGATTTCAAAATGGCTGACAATGATTAAGTGTAATCTCGGTTCTGTCGGAGCCTCTTGCTGGCCTGTTCCGTTTTCTGTACACAATTTATTTAGAACATTTTTTATTTTTATTTTTTTTTGGCGCAGCACAACCAATTTCCCCACCTCAAGAGTTGAACATTGAAAATCAATTGGACAAGAATGAAACCGACTTAGCAGGTACTTGATCTTGGTGTAGTAATTAAGGGCCCGTTAGAAGCAGGACCCCTCTTGGCCCCCTCAGAGACTTTTGGGATTGGTGCGAATAAACGTAATATCGCTCTGGCTGATTGGACACTAAGTAACACGAGTGCAGCTGATTGGTCGATATTGCGGGTTGTAAAGGGCAGGAAGGGTGGGACATTTGGTGACCCATTTCTGCTTCCTGTCTGGGGACTTTATCTGATTTAATTCTTGAGTCTTTTTTTTTCCACATTTAGTTGGAACATCAATTACATTTTTTTCATGACAATTTTCTTTTTTTTTTTTTATTCTACCCAACTATTAGGGTCACAGGTGAGCTAGAGGTACTTTGGGCAAGAGTTACTACCTGAATTGGTGGTCAGCCAATCACAGGGCACACATAAAGATCAAAAAGCAATCACATTGACGTCCAATGAAGCTAAAATATGTTTCTGGAATGTGAGAGGATGTCAGAGTAACTGGAGATAACCGACGCCACCACGGACTGGGTGAACATGCAAACGTCACACGGAAAGGCTGGAGCAGAGAACACAGAACCTGAGAACTGTGAGGCAAATGTGCTAACCACTAGGACATTGCTACCCGATTTTATTTATGGATGTATTTCTATAAATCGACCCTGGTTGATTAAAAAAAAAAAATCATGTGTGCATAGTGCAGCACTTTTACGGTGCCTTTTGGGATACAATCTGTGGCCGTTCGTTCAGCCATCCATTATCTGGAACCGCTTATCCTCGCGAGGGTCGCAGGGCCATTCGTTCTGTCAAAGCCAATTTTTCTTTTGCCCTTTGCAAAATATCATCAAGTCAAGTCTGTTGACGAACTTCTCGGGACTTACCAAGATCACTATTTTGAGACCAAGTCCAAATCAAAGTACATTTGAGTACTTTCCGATACCAGTACCGAGTACCAATCCATTCTTTTGAATCACAACAACTTGTTATCGTTGACGTCTTTTCCTTAACGTAGTCTCGATAACTCACAGCAGATATGCGCTGCCTCAGTCTGAGCGCGACGGGGCATCACGTAAAGGAGTTCACGAGCGTGTATTCATTACAAAATAAAGTGAGTTAAAAAAAAAAAAAAAAAAAGAAATACAAGAGTACTTCTGACCCAACTATTAGGGTCACAGGTGAGCTAGAGGTACTTTGGGCAAGAGTTACTACCTGAATTGGTGGTCAGCCAATCACAGGGCACACATAAAGATCAAAAAGCAATCACATTGACGTCCAATGAAGCTAAAATATGTTTCTGGAATGTGAGAGGATGTCAGAGTAACTGGAGATAACCGACGCCACCACGGACGAGGTGAACATGCATGCAAACGTCACATGGAAAGGCCGGAGCAGAGAACACAGAACCTGAGAACTGTGAGGCAAATGTGCTAACCACTAGGACATTGCTACCCGATTTTATTTATGGATGTATTTCTATAAATCGACCCTGGTTGATTAAAAAAAAAAAAAAATCATGTGTGCATAGTGCAGCACTTTTACGGTGCCTTTTGGGATACAATCTGTGGCCGTTCGTTCAGCCATCCATTATCTGGAACCGCTTATCCTCGCGAGGGTCGCAGGGCCATTCGTTCTGTCAAAGCCAATTTTTCTTTTGCCCTTTGCAAAATATCATCAAGTCAAGTCTGTTGACGAACTTCTCGGGACTTACCAAGATCACTATTTTGAGACCAAGTCCAAATCAAAGTACATTTGAGTACTTCCCGATACCAGTACCGAGTACCAATCCATTCTTTTGAATCACAACATGTTATCGTTGACGTCTTTTCCTTAACGTAGTCTCAATAACTCACGGCAATTATGCGCTGCCTCAGTCTGAGCACGATGGGGTATAACGTAAAAGTACAAAGGAGTTCACGAGCGTGTATTCATTACAAAATAAAGTGAGTTAAAAAAAGAAATACAAGAGTACTTCTGGAATACACCACACGTTATAAAACTGTGTCAGAACAACTCAAGTGATCCCACCCTCGCTTGCATCGCTTTACGCGTGCTATCACATTAGCTTCGATCACAGTTATGAAATTCACTTAAACGCTCCATCCAAAGGCTTTCTCGCTCCCCGGTGTGCGGAGGAATTGTTTATTTTCAGCTTTACGTCTTATCTTCGCCCATTGCCATTTTATTAAGTGCATGATACAATATCTGCAGAGCCTCTCGGATCCGTTCTGCTCGTACTTCAACGCGTGTCTGTTTGCATGAAGGGAACATGAAACTCTGATTGCACTTAATAAATAAGCCTAAGAAGACACTGACAAGCGCGTCCCGGTGCGGCGGATGATCGTCTTTTATTTTGGCTGCTATATTAATCTCTGCTTTTTATGTGCACGTAACAAAAAGGTACACTGGAGCGTGAACCTGTCCCACTTTGTTTGGTTGTCAAAGTGACACACAAAGGAGGGTGGTGAGGTGGGGGGGAGGGGGGGTAACACAAAGCCTCGATGAATCACAGCGTTATTGTCACAACGCTTTCTAGTCTATCTGCGCACTTGTCTCTATTAGATGACATAAAGCACATATGAGCATGTTTTTCAATGTTGAACATCCCTCTTTTCCTGTGTGCCTAGCGTATTCTGGGATCTGTACTGCGCCGCCCCGGACCGGAGGGAGACATGCGAACATTCCAGCGAGGCCAAGGCCTTCCACGATTATGTGAGTCAACCAAAACACATCGTATCAAGCCTGTCACTCACCAGAGTTGGGTGGTGGGGGTCTCTCATGCCGATGTGAGGTGTTACAAGTCTGCTTTTCTGCGGTTATGCTGCTGGTTTCTGTTTTGGGGAGAAATCTGCCTGGGAATGCTGTGTTTTTATTTCACGGGGAAGCCTGGAGACGTCCAGCTTTGAATAATTGAGTGTGTTCGTGCCAGTGTATCATTTTTCACATGATTAGGTATCGCTCTCTGTGGTTAGCCAAAAGTGCATACGGACCAACATTTGACAATAAGCCAGAATGCAAATGCTAATGCCAGGATTCCTCTTGGAATTGCAGTTTTTGATGAATGAATCCTCGTTTTCGGGGGTCTCAACATTGCCCTTTGCAACAAATATCGTCAAGAAAGGCCCGAAAAGTCACAGATTTTAGTAAGCGTGTGTATCCTCGTTAAAACTCATATTGTGGAAAGCTAGGAAAAAAAAAATTACCCTCCAACATCAGTTCCAATAATTAACATCAAATTTGGTTGGCATGTCTATCATGAAAAGACACATGAAAAATGCTGAAGGATCCTCGCCTGAAATTAAACAAGTCGTCAGCTATTTTGGGAAATTTTCGAGCTGGAACTTTGACAAACTTCTACTAGGGATTCCAAATGAGCACAAATTGGAAATAGGTATCCTACACAGACATGAGCCCAAAGGAGGCTGACCTGGACAATCAACCCCACAAAAAACCCCCCCCCACAAAAACCCAAACAAAGAAAGTCCGTTCTGCGCCTGCTTTCTCGCAACGTAAATGTGCAGCTTTGCTAATTCATACACAGGCACATATAAAATTCTAAGTGTATTATTGTTAATCACAATAAATATACTCTACAGTACGTATTCTTTTTTTGTGCTGCTTAGCAACGATCGCGTCCAGCCGAATCTGGCTGTGCATGACGTTGAAGTCGGATGGTCATTTCAAAAATTTGTTCTGAAGAGGGTGTGAGGAATTTTCGTCAAATTGACCTTCTGAAGTAAGTTTCATTGAGCAACAAGAAATTTGGGAGGTGTCTGTATCATGAGTAGACCCACAAAAACGCCTCAAGAATCCATGTCAGAAAACACACAGGAGGTTTGTTGTTATGGTTTGAAGTGGCTAATTCTTTTCCGAAATCCGAGTTTTTGTCATAGCGTGTGGTCCGAGCATGAGAGCAAAAATGTTTGCAGACAAAATCGAAATGACTTGTCTGAAGTTTCACAAAATCCACCGCTGATACAGTCCTGTATGCGTTTCGGGTAACCACAGTCGCTCAGACGCGTTACCTCTGCACTTCCTCAAACGATGACCCCTGAACTCTCGGCTCTGAGAGGAAACGTCGTCCCCTGATGAAAGGTCACGCCGCGGCCAGTCTTATTTATTGGTCCACGAAAGGTCAAGGCACATAAAGGTTGATCACACAAGAACATTAGCACTCGGACACGCACAATGCATTTGCACATAAAGTATGTTTAAAAGGCTTTGCTAACGCTGGCAGTAGGGGACGGTGGTGGGTGGGTGGGGGGGTGGCGATAAAAGGTCGGGGTCTCTGGCCCCCTTGACCTTATCATCTTCTGAAGAGTTGAGATGGTCAATCCAGTCGCACTTGCACACACACGACCCACATTTCCTGCGCAGCTGTCTGATCAAATCGAGTACGTGTGACTTTCTTTGTGGTTCGAGCTCATTGTATTGCCCCGAAGACCTTTTCACTCCCTTTAAAAGGCATCTGCACTTTAATTTGATCGGAGCTCTATCCTATATAATCGACCACACGATTGACCTGAGATAAAACGCATGTACTTACATGTCAGCATTATTCTAGCATGAACCACATTTCCTTGACCGTGGGGGGAGGGGGATCAAAGATTATTGATCATTTTAAATGTGTAGAGTATATTATACTTATACTAGTGGAGAAAAATAATATTGCGGGAGTTGTCAACTCTCATCTCAGCGGCATTTTGGATGACCTTAACGTAAATAATTTGTATCAGGAAGATATAGTGGTGTGTAATTGCGATTGGTTGGCGACCAGTCCATAGTGTATCTCGCTCCAATTCACTCATAATCCGTATGAGGATAAGCACGATAGACGGTGGATGGATGTTTTATTTTTTTATAGAGAGAAACACTATAGCGCAGTGGTCTGGAGGGAACGTGCTCAACATGGATGGAAATTGTGTTACGACAGAGTTTGGAATGAACAATTAGTTATGGATGAGTGGAAAGAAATCATCCAAAATCTTCCAGAAAGTCAACCTCGCATTTTCTTCGATTTTCTCTCCTTGTTGATGTAAATGTAATGGTCAAGTGTCCAATACTTTTGTAATGGCGTGGCTCTATTTGTTGTTTCACCATTATAATGAATTGAACCACATCACTCAGACGCCACAATTGGTAACATGATTAGCATTAGCTCACTAGTTGTCAGTCCATGTAAATGAGGCTGCTGAGTGGGTTGGCTGCTCCCTTTACCTGAAACGGATTACGGCTGCTATTTTTAGCCTTCACCTTCCATTCAAGTGCTTTGAGCCCACAGGCAGTCAAACCCTTGCATGACACTTGACAACCCAACATATTACATTTGTTGTGCATGTCGTGTGTGTGTGTGTGTGTGTGTGTGTGTGTGTGTGTGTGTGTGTGTGTGTGTAGGCGCCAGCTGACACGTTTTTGTGTGTGTGCGCACGTGTTGGACCACCATAAGATTAATTACATGGTTAATTAAACCTAGTAGTTAATTAAGTCTGACAAGTGTGTCTAATGAATCTAAATGCCATATAATTTGCTCCACCTTTCTCCAGTGGTAGGCCAGCTGGATACCTGCACGTCAACGCTTAAATGACGGCTGAGTTGGCCGAACTTGAACGTCCGCGGGCCTTACAGAGGTGTGTTTGAAAGCCGGCAGTGCATTAGAGCTGAAATGTGGACGTACGCCGTGCGGCTATTGGAATAAATGGGAGTCTAGAGGAGTTCAAGGATGCGGGCAATGATGCTTGAGCTTTGACCTGACTGAAGTTGAGGAAGTCAGTTGAGGAGCGAGCAGGCTGACTGAGTGGGCTGGAAGAGTAAGAACTAGTTGCTGGCCTTCAGTTTATTCGCACTGATCCATCTCCGAGGTTAGAAATGAGCCTGCACCTCAGGGCTGCACGTTCAACTATGTACTTTCTAGCAAATTCTTGAACCTTTAACCCAAGCGTCAGTCCACAGTGGAATCTATGGACGTTGTTCCGTGACGCCAGTCGTCTTTCAAAGCAACATTTTCCACTGAGATCAATTATATTTGGAATATGCCAGCGCCAGTCTGGGGTGTACCACACCTCTCACCCGTAGTCAGTTGGGGTAGGCTCCAGCGCACCTTAATGTGGACAAAAACTGTAGAAAATTGATGGATGGATATCTAGTGGTAGTAATGACCTCTTAAAACCTGAAGAGGGCTAATAATCACACTTGACATATAAATTGGAATCAACTGCGGATGTCACAATCCAAGCCCAGTCAGGTTACTTGATTTCGACTGTCGTTTGATACCGACTCCGAACTGATGCCTCGGATATCTATTTCTCTACCTAATTACGTAGCTAGCTACCTAGCTCGCTAGCTACCTAACTGCCTAGCTATCTAGCTATCTAGCATCATATCTATCTATCTATCTATCTATCTATCTATCTATCTATCTATCTTGTCAAAAATTAAGTCACAGTGGGCTTACTTTTCATTGAAGGTAAGTCGTTTTAATTAAATGTGTCATATATGCTAACCTGTTACTCATTGAAATCTGAGGATGCTGCTCAACTAGCAGTTTGGCCATACTGTTCTCTCCGGTGGTCTGTGCGGTGAGTATCTTTCGGCTTTCCTGTACTGTCAGTAGTGTCACGATTTTTTTTTTTTTTTCATGATTCACTATCTTTCTCTTTTTCTTTAATGAGTCGCGGATGATACAAGCTTTGGGCACAAACGCACAGAATGCTACATGAAGTCAGTTAATAATAAATAAAAAATTAGATGATCTTTTTCGGCTGATCAATACAAAATTACGTGATCGGACAGAATTGACCGTATTGAGACAACTCGAGTATCCACTACTAATGTAATGTAAAACACACTTGTATTACACTTGACATTTTGGTCATGGATATTGTAGCAAACCAGTCACCTGCTAGCTCGGGAAGCTAATATGGCAGTCTGCTTCATCCCATTCGAATGGAAATTCACCAGAGCAAGCTGGTCAGATAATAGTGTCCCGAGTCTTGGTGAAGAAGTATGTGGCTCACTGCCCAAAGTTATACTTGTATGCCCTGTTCCAAAATCTAATACTGTACTTGGTTCTTCTTCTTCTTCTTCTGTGAGTACTGTCGCAAAAAAAGCCCAAAAAGTGAATCATTTGATCGTGTCTGAAATGAGGTCTTGTGAGTTGCACTTAGTTCACTGTAATGGCAGTGCCACACAAAAAAATGTGTTCAATTTAGAAGGTTCCACATGTCAGTAAACCGCACAGACCAAGAAGCATGCACAGACTACCGCGACCGTTGCCGTTTGTGCGACGCAGAAGGAGAACTGTCAGGGTCGATGCCGTTTGAGTCCCTGGGGTGACAAGGGGTCTGTCTGTCTCTGATTAACTCGGGCTCGCCGGCCCCCGCGGACTGAGTGGCCCGATCAAGCCTCACTTGCGGCCCCTTGCTGATAACAGCCCCCTTGCCCCCTCCCCCCCCTCACCCGCCACCCCTCCTGGATGGCAAAGTGAAAAACAACGCAACTCCCAGAAGGAGTCACGCGCGCGCACTCCGCCCGGCACATGCGGAAGATTCATCAAGATTGTTTGGAGATGGGCAGAACAGTGTGGAAGAGTGGTTACCACTTCAGCCTCACAGTTCTGAGGTTTGGGTTCGAATCTTATCTCCGGTATTCCAAAGTGGGACAGGCTCTAGCTCACCTGTGATCCTCATGAGGGTGAACGCTATTGAAAATGAAGT